CACAACCTTACCAACTAATCCAGCTGGCTCCCTTTTACCGAGTCGGGCCACCTTCAATCACCGTGCATTGTGCACTCAAACTGAGTCGAACGCTTATGAACTGGTTGGAATGGCATCAATTCTATAGCCGATAGTCGTACCATGCATGCGCCAACTTGATAGTATACACTCTGTGCCTGCCCAGGCAAACGCCGTAATCCCCATGGCAGCTACCGCGCTGAACCATGATATTGTGTTTCCGTAACGCCGGCGAGCTAATGCTCCGTGATGACTCCCATCCAAAAACTGCATCGACCATTCAAGCCTTGGTCAGATGTTGCAATCATTTTCCCTCTTGATCCTTAAAACTCCCAAGCTGTTTGGAACATGTGTCGAGGGCCCTCCTCGACGTTCCAACGAGCCCAAACACACAAGAAATATCGCAAGCAAGGACGCAGCTACTACGCGGCAGAGATGGCCATTGGGGCCGGAGAGCTAGCAGGAACGCTGCCGGGCGCGCTCCGCATCTCGACGTCGGCGCCGCTGTTGACGGCACTATTGGCGTCGCTTTTAATCTGATCATTCTCCTTGTTCTCCTTGGTGCTGCTGTCGGCTGAGGCGGCGGCAGAGTCCTCAGTGGTGGGCTCGGGCACGAACTTGGGCGGCGCGGTCCATCGAGGAACCTCCCAGACGATACCTGTGAAGCTCTTGAGGACGAAACCGCCCCTCGCCCATTTGCGGCAGGGTTTGCCGCTTCGGTCGAGAGCTCGAAGGCCGGCGTTGATGGCACCTTGGTTGGCCTTGGGACCCAGCTTATGTCCAGCAGCGCCACCACGGGCATTCGGGTCGATGGTTCCATCCTCACTACATGATATCATTAGATTAGCAAGGAGTCAACGTAGGCAGCGGGCAAAATGGGTATACACACAGTCTCGCCTTCTTCTTGGGGCCAGGCTTGCCGCGGACCTTGGGCTGTCCATCAGGGCCGAGACCATTGGCAGCACCAGCACCACGCTTGGTACCCTTCTTCTTGACTCCCTCGGTAGGAGGACCCATGGATGTAGGTGCTGGGGTTCCATCGCCAGCGGGCGTGCCGGGATTTGAGTCGGACGCCGTCTCGCCATTTGCGATGGCAGGAGCTGCCAAGGTGGCCGATGTGGCGGGAGAATCTTGCGCTTCTTGAGTCTCCTTGTTTCCATTCGTCTCCTCAACATCCATCTTGACGGGCGAGTCTTCCTTTACATAATCGGGATCAAGGGTCCGCTTCAATTTATCGGCGTCGACAGTCAGGGTGATAACGAGGCCGCCCTTGCCTCCATTGGACTTGCGTCGACTGACGGATGCGGTAGGTGCCATTTCGAGATGGATTTGGGCGTGTTGTGTGATGATGTATTGGGTGGTGAGGGCGAGGTTTGGTCCAGGGCGGAAAGGATGGGTGAAGAGTTGGAAGATTGGCGGCGCGGCGTCAGGAAGCTTAGTAGGTAGTAATGGCTTTGTCGGAGATAGCTGCTTTGATGGATGGGGTGGCGGACGGGCCGGGGATCCAATGGGCCACGAGTTGTGATCTGGTGGGTAAAGGACTGGGCAAGGTTTTGGGCGGTGGTGCGTGTTGGGTTGGTTTTGGTGGTGAGCTGGAGCAGTGCGGGTTCAGGTTCTCCTGGGTGCGGTGCGGTGCGATCTGTCTCTCTCGTGGGTGGCAGATTATTTCGCGTCGGCGACTCGCACAGTCGACGGCGATGCGAGGCAAGGCGGTGATGGCGATGGGGGTTTGGCGATGGATGGAACGGGAGGGTGGAAGGGTTGATGAGAAGGGGGATAGAGAGAATTTTTATTTTATGGGGGAATCCATCTGGTAAGTTTGGCGTCTCATTTTCGAGAGAGCGCCAGAGCAGGCGGCGTGACAATAAACGGTTCTCATGCTGCCTGGGTTGGGTGCGCGGTGGTGCTGGGTGCGTGGTGCGTGGTGCTGGGCTCCCGTTTCTCTCTCACCCACGCTCAAGAATTGACCTCCAGCTTTCGCTTCCTCTCGCGCACCTGCCACCAGCGCCGCAGTTGTGGGTAAGCGAAAGGAAGACCCGACCAGTAATCTGGGGGGGCCGTGACCGGAAAGGGATGCACGGGTGGATTTTTCTCCCCCTTCCAGAAGTACAAAGGTACATACCATACATCGGGGCACGCAGGATGTATACATCCATCCATCCAAGATCTCACCCAAGGTGAGGTCCCTCAGAATCCAAGGGAAGCCGCAAGGTAAAGTTTCGTTCGTCCTCGCCATCCAAGGATCTTGGGCCTTTGTGACCTAATCATGGTTCATGGTCCAAGTACCTAGTTACCATTTTACGTGCAGCTGTCTGGGACTCTGGGCATCCTACCTACCTACGTTAAGGTACCTTAAGGAGTACGGAATATCCAAGCACAAACACTCATGGAAGGGTAACAAGGCAAGATACGTACCCCGGCACCCTCCGTCCGTCGGCCGGGGGCCATCCACGCACCGCGCTCCCTCACGTCAATCAATCCCGACACCAGGGCCACCAAAAACGTGGACTTTCCGTGCTTGCTCTGGCTTACCTAGTAGGTGGTTTGACGATGCGTGTGGAAGGCATGCCGGGCTATCTGTCTTGCTGCATTTTGCACCAATTTCTTTGATTGTGCCCTTCCAAGTACCCCTTTCCCCCATTTCGCCATCTGACCTCCTGTCATCTCAGGCTTCAGAAGGACGTTCGGGATGAGAATGGAAGCTCACCTCAGTAATATCCACTCCAGACACACACACATGCACACGCACACACCCACCACACCTTCCTTCCTTCCCCCTCTTCCCCCCTTATTGCCTTCATCTCTTCTCGTCACGACCGTCCGTAATGATTCCCGTCCTTTCCCCGGCCCAGTTCTTGACTTTCCCTCACGTTCTGCGCATCTCCGTGCCTCAGGCGGACGTCCATCATCTATCCCCATCCTCCCAACCATTCATCCCGACTCCTTCAATTGCCAGGCCAAAGGCGAAACACTTGACTTTCACACCTCGCGACAAGGTCCAGCAGTCTATTACCCATTTAGGCAACGCTTGACTCGAAGATTGACGATAGAACGCTACCTTTGCATCTCTCCACACAATACGTTCCCAGTAATTCACCAGCTGATGATCCATGACCCTTTCAGACTTTATGTACTATCGCAGATTATTTCCCTCAGCCTTCAGCTCCATGACACAATCAGCCCGCCTTGGTCGCTGGGCATTCGGCACATTATCTCATCCCGCTCATGAGCGATAGATGCATCCTGCACCACGCTTCCAGCACATTTCATCTTCCGACCTTTCCCACGCGGTACTATTATTTCCAGACCAATTGAGAAGGCTGCCAAAGACTGCGATTGCGAATTTGTGCGAAAACGCCATGCAAAAATAATCACTGCGGGATCTACGGGTTGTCCGTACTGGCGGTGGCACGAATGGGTCGGCGAGCGAGGATCAAGGCGATAGAAATTCAAGTCTCAAACTAACAAATCCTCATCAGATCCAATGGGCCCAGGTCTGCGCTTGGCTGGCGCACTACGTACGATACTTGTCCAGGTCGGCCCAGAACTCTGAATTGGTGATGGCGACCTGCAGGCTTCCGGCCGAGCCTGGAATCCCCTTGGATCCCTCGTTGGGGCCCGAACCTTAGTCACCCTGGCATCTCTCTTGTCATCATTTCGCCTTCCAGAAGCAATCCGTGTCCGCCGCATCAGAAGACCATGGACGCTGATGGACAGTTTTGAGCAAACGAGGTGACGAGCTGCGTATTCTACTTTATCAACACCAGTAGTCATGATAGGATGTGCCTGATGCCATTGCACTGCATGCGCTGTGAGGAAAGGTCCAGCAGAACGACTGCCAGGCCGATCCGGGATGGGCACCTTGCGACCGCCGATTGCCTGCACCACAACCAAATGGGATCCTCTACGGGCTTTGATAAGAAGGGTTGATTGCTGGAGGCACCTCCCAACCAGCCTTCCTCATTTCGACACTAGATAGGTCACGAACGAGGGCATTTCACGTCCCACGATGCACTTAGACGGACTGTTTAGTTCAAGGTTCTTCTGGCATCATGAATATTCAGCGACAAAGATACAAGTATGCATATTATTACATCAGCCTCTCGACCAACTGCGTCCGAGAGAACCTCGTGAGACTGGACCTCGGGAAGCCCTAATAATTGAAAAAAAGGGGGCCAGCGAGAACTTCCGCGTCTGCCGTGGCCTCACTTCCCTGTCAAATGGGTTCGAAAAAATGCTTCCAACCCCAACTTCAATCCCACATGGCGAGAGCCAATCGTGCTTCGAGATCCCAAACAACCCATCCCGAGACCAGCAGAAGTGGAAGGCCGGGTGGTGCAAGCCTGAATGGAAATGAGGTCAGAGCTCAGCTCCGATCAACCTGTACAAAAACGTACAATGCCACACGAGTGAAGGAAGAAAGGCTCCCCCGTTTCACAGCACGCCGAACCTGGTCATCGCCAGTCCAATGATGCTTCTCCAACGAAGTACCATTCAACCGGCGTGTTTCTAGCCTTCAACCACCTGGCAAGCTGTTGGTGGAAAGCATCTGGTGCCAGCAGATACCTGAGAAAGGCAAGAAAGTCAACCCGTACGATGAAGTAGATTGCGTCGTTTCATCAGATCCGTGCAGCCGCTGTCGACTATCATCAACGGCACCCCCCAAGGCCAAGATTTATGCGGTCTCAACTGCCTTCTCAGGATGATTGAGCTGCTCCGGGTGCCGAGTGTCGCCCGATAGCGGATCATCGCCACTGACAGGAAGCGGAACCTGCATCGTCACCATTCCAAAGCCAAGTTTGTGCGTGCATCCTCGAATTCAATACCGCGCGTGCAGCGCTCCACAACCAGGAGAACATCTTCCGGCGGCGGCACATTCGTCACCACGGCCAGTCTAGCCGTGCGATTGTCTCCTCGTCCCGATCAACCATCGCCGCCGCAAGCCACGGAAAAGACCAAAGAAGGGGATAGTGACCCAAATTATGGATTGTCCGATTTGCAAATTACCTACTTTAGTATTGGACGTCGATTCTTGGAAAGACACAAGCGTTGTTTCCCCTTACTCACGGCCGCCGTTGATCCGTCAATGACCGAGGGACGATTTACCTTTGGAATGCATATGCATCAGCGACCATCGAACGGTCTCTGGAATGCGTTGCCATGTTTACACTATGTGCGACGCCACCTTGCTATATCATGAGCTCGAGAAGTCTCGAGACCTTGTTTGAGAGAGAAACCATCTCTTACTCACCTTAAACATTCCAAGATGCATCTTATCAGCAAAATTCTTTATGTCTGCGTCGCTTTACACGTCGCCTTTCAGGGCGCGTCCGGCGCAATTCTCCGGGGACGAACCAGCGATGCCGATTCTAACCAGCTTTCAGCAAGTGATTTTCAAACTCTGAGCCAGGCCGCGGAGGATCTGAACAGTCAGCTGGACAACTTTTTGAGAAACTGGAGTGGTGGTCACCGTAAACCCGAAACCGAGGAAACCACAACCATTGTCAAGCGGCAAACCAGTGGCCTCTCGATATCTGCGCAAGACCTTCAAGATCTTTTGAAGCTCATCCAGTCCATCGAGCGGCAGTTGGCGGCGATCATCTCTGGCAGCACCACGGCAAGCGGGACGGTGGCACCGGCTCCGTCAAATACTGTCAACAACCCTGGGCCGGTTGCTTCTTCGTCACCTGCCAATCCAGGTGTAAGTTCTCCTACCCCCAACCCCGTTCTAACGAACACAGGAAATGGCGGGCCGCTCACCACGGCATACGGGACGTCCGTCTCGACCGGGACGAGATGCGTAACGACCATCACTCAGACCTTTACCGAGTATGTCAATGAGGACGGAACGACAGCCGTGCCTGGGGCTCGCCGATCAGTCGTGGACGACGTCGAGGTGGATGCCGAAGAGGACGATGAGCCTTGGGTCACTGCCACCGTACCTCGGGACACTGAAGAAGACGATGAGTGGGAGCCCTGGGTCCAGTTCGACGGGACTACTACCGAGGAAGACGAGTCCGATGTGGGCTTCACGACGCGCGATTCCTGGACGGAGCTGGGTGTTAAGCGTCGTGATCCGCTGGGCGAGACCAGTGGCCCTGGGCTCCTCTTCGTTCGTGACGAAGAGGGAATTTGACGGCGTCGCATGGCGTCGAAAGGTAGGCTTGGTCACTCAAGTGCGCAGATCGACTTGGCTCACAGTTCACAGTACATGATGATTGAGAGACCGTCCACGGACGACGTTGAGAATGGGCAACGACACATTATGATGGACGAATTTCGGATAATGATTTCCACGACTTATTTACGACATTCATTTGGCATGAGAAGCACGAAAGCATGAGAAACATTTGGACGGAGAAGAATGCAAGTAGAGATAGACATGTACGCTGTTTTTCGGCATCTCAACTACCAGAACGGCAACGGCTGGGAAATTCTTGGATCGGGTTTTGTGTATCGTACCGTACCTTCAACAGGCGGCGGGCACACTGGATGAAATTACTATGAAATGATTAGACGGGCACACTCCTTTCAATGCAACACTACGACTTAAAATCCCCTTATCTTAACAATTATCAGTCTCGTTTGTGTGTGAAACCTGTTAGTGTCTCAGTCCAGTTCAGTTGAAGGGGGAAAAAAAGAGTCCGGGTCCGTGTGCCAAGAGGCCGGAACGGTTCCGGCCACGCCGGCAATAATCGGTCAATAAGTGGGGCTAGAGAAAATCAATACTCAACCACCGCTCCAGTCCCCAGCGCGCCTGCACCGGACCTAAACTCGGCATCTCCAACAACAACAACGCCGATAAAAAGTTTTGCCTCACGAAAAAGGAAAGGAATGCATGTAAGGTCATCAGGGTATGATACACGATGTGGGCAGGATCAAGGGTATGTGAACCAGTTAGGTGCAGCGGTATTGTGCTTATCGTGGAGTGCAAGGGCTTGGCCAGCATGAAAGAGACGAAGATGGTGGGAGCGAATCTCGGGTCTGGGCTATCTTGATGACCCCGTGTGACCAGAGATTAGGATGATATGACAAACAGAAATAAGGGAACGGACTGGACGGGACGGACGAGACGGGCGGGGGGTGGAGAGAAAGAGGGATTCGTGTCATGGCCGGAGGTGCAACCCCCTCACTTGAGGCCGGAATCGATTCCGGCCACGAACTATATACACGGCGCCGAGTGGCGGCAGGTCAACGAAACAAACTTGAACTCCAACTCATTCAGCACTCTTGCATTGAGAAGCAACTGAGAAAGCTTGACTGGAAATTATTTGGCATTGTTTTGCGAATTTTCCGCACATTTTTACATACCCATCTCACTTACACGCATCTTGGTGAAGCTCATCTTGAGTTCGACTTACACCAACCCAAATCCCAATCATTTCCCACTTGCCCAGACATCCATCCCGCACTTGCACACACATAACCACACCATCATCACTTCGTAACCCACATCCACCAACCCGCACTTACACACATCTCCCCCAACCCATTCCATCCAAACCCACACACACCCATATACCCCTATCTATCCCCGCGTTTTCAAGCAACCTTATCCATCACAATGGGCTCAATCGACTCCACCCCCTTCCCCGTCCTCGACGACCCCCGCGCCTCCGACACCTCCCTCCCGGCCTTCATGGTCTCCACCACCCGCGGCTTCCTCCCCCGCGGCGATCCCGTCGCCGTCCTGCCCGCCGAGTTTGCGCCCCTAGAGGACATTCTCGCGCGTATGCCGGTCAAGAAGCTCGACGGCACACCGGGTCTCCTGGCCTCCTCCAAGCTCGGCGAGACCGTCGACGCGACGTTCCCGGACCTGACGGACGCTATTGACCAGTACAAGGAGAACTTGCCGCTCATGAACGCGCTGTACCGCGACTACTCGTTCCTCGCGTCCGCCTACCTGCTCGAGCCGTGCCACGAGCGGTTCGTCCGCGGCGAAGGGTACGGGCTCGCGAGGGATGTGTTGCCCAGGAACATTTCGATGCCCATTGCCCGCTGCGCTGAACTGTAAGTCTTCTCTCCCACACCATTGCAGTATCCCGCATCTGACATCCGTCATAAAGCACCGGCTTCAAGCCATGGATGGAATACGCAGGCTCCTACGCCCTCTACAACTACCGCCTCGAGGACCCCTCAAAGGGCATGGAGTACTCCAACATCCGCCTCATCCGAGCCTTCGAGCACGGCCTGGACCCGACCTCCTCCGAGGCAGGCTTCGTTCTCGTCCACATCGACATGGTCAAGAACACGGGGCCCCTCGTAAAGGGCACAATGGCCGCCCTCCGCTCCTCCGTGCCCACCACCTCCCCCGTCCCCTCTCTGGACCGCGCCGCCCTCAACCAGGGCCTGTCCGAGGTCCTCGCCGCCCTCCGCAAGATCAACAACACAATGGAGACCATGTGGGACAAGTCCCGCCCGCAGAGCTACACCAGCTTCCGCACCTTCATCTTCGGCATCACCAGCCAATCCATGTTCCCCAACGGCGTCGTCTACGAGGGCGTAAACGACGGCAAGCCCATGTCTTTCCGCGGCGAGTCGGGTGCCAACGACTCCATCGTACCCCTCATGGACAATTTGTTGCAGGTGCCCATGCCCGACACCCCGCTCACCGAGATCCTCAAGGACTTCAGGTCCTACCGCCCCAGCAACCACCGCCAGTTCCTCATGCACGTCAAAGACCGCTCCCTCGAGGTCGGCCTCAAGGACGCCGCGCTCTCCACCAAGCTCTCCGCCGACAGCCTAGGTGCCGAGGAGAAGGAGGCCGTCAAGGAGTCCCGCCGCCTGTGGCTGCATATTCTGCACCAGGTGCGCGACTTCCGCTGGCGGCACTGGTGCTTCGCGCGCGAGTACATCCTCAAGCGCACGTCGCACCCGACGGCCACGGGCGGGAGTCCCATCGTCACGTGGTTGCCGAACCAGCTCGAGGCGATTTTGGTGGAGATGGAAGATCTGTACGGGGCTGTTGGCGGTGCCAAGGGGGAGTGGGATTTGGGCGAGGAGATGAGGGATGTGATGGACCTTGTTGCGCGGCAGAAGACGACGCTGAGGAAGGAGGTTGCCAAGTATTGTGCTGAGAGGGGGGTGAACACCGTTCTGCAGGCGGATTCTTGATGGGTGGGTGGTGGTGTGGTGATTGGCGTGAGAGGGGAGAGAGGGGGATGGAAGACAAAGGGAGTGATGATAAGCTGCGGGCGCAAGGACATGGTAGAGAGAGGCGGTGTGATATTGGCTCGTCTCTCCGGAAGCATATACAATTTCAAGTAACAAAAATTTATTATTTTAAACCTCTATAACTGCCTGCCCGCTATCGTCATTCTGTCATTTGAATGCGACTCTAGGGGGCGCAAGACAAACAAATCGTAAAATCTCGTCATTTGTTCAACGCCGCGTCCATGCTCTTCCTCCACTCAGGGGCCTTCTTCCTAAGGGTCCAGACACAGATATAGCCCGACACCCAGGCAAAGATACCCAGTATCGTAAAGAGCCACCCGTTGCCGATGGCGTTAATCACGGGCTGCGCGGCAATCGCACCAATGCAACTGAAAATGTTTCTGACAAAGTTGTTCACCGCCACGCCTCCCGAGCTGCGTTTGGGCATGAATTCGGTTAGCATGGTCGTGGCGGCGCCACTGGTGGTCGAATGTTAGCCGGAGCCGGGATGAGATAAGATGCAAAGAAACCGCCTCAGATATCATTGGCGAGAAAGGGAAAAAAGACTTACAACACGAGCATCGAGCTGGCGCCGAATGTAAACAGACCGATACACGGCACAAACCAGAACAGGCCCTTTTCCACCACCCAGCCGTAGTAGATGAGCGAAGCCGGGTACACCGTCGCCGCGATCCAGATGTTCTCGCGCATCCTGTCCTCCGGCAGCAGGATCAATTTCCCGTCGGCGTCGTACCGCCCCGCCTTACGGGCCTCCCTCGCCATAATGACGTCGAGCCAGCGGCCTCCCAGGAGGGAGGCGAGGAAGTAGCCCAGGCCGGCGGGGAAGTAAAAGAGGCCGATGATGAGCTCGCTGAAGCCGTAGGGGGCTTGGGACAGCGTGGCCTGGACGGAGATGTTTACGACAAAGAGGGCGCCGAAGGTGACGGCGGCGAACCAGACTGTTATGGCGACGGGCGGGAAGCGGAGGTATAAGAGGACGGAGAGGGGGTCGATGAAGGACTTTTTGAAGAAGGCGGCTGCTTTTTTGGAGTGGACTTTTACGGATTCCGTTGTTTTTGTTCGGGCGAGGGCATTCTTTTCGATGCCTTCTGATGCGAGTTGAGACTGTGATGCCACGACGGCGGCAGCAGGTCTGGGGCGCGCGAGGGTCTCGGGCAGACAGAACAGGATCATGACGAGGACGAGCCCGCCGTAGATGGCGAGCGTCCACATGGTCGACTGCCACCCGAACCGCTGCGCCAGCGCGCCGCCGATGATGGGCGCGAGCAAGGGGCCCGTGAGGGGCCCGAGGTAGAAGATGCTCATGGCCCGGCCGCGCTCGCGCGGCTCCCAGATGTCGGCGATGGTTCCCGCGCCGACGGCCTGGACGCTGGCGCTGGCGCCGCCGGCGAGGAGGCGCATGACGATGAGCATCTCAATGTTTACGCTGACGGCGGAGAGGATGGAGAAGAGGACGAAGAGGGTGAAGGAGAGGAGGTAGATTGTGCGGCGGCCGAGGGTCTCGGAGAAGGAGGACCACCAGAGGGGGAAGATTGCCATGGCGAGCATATAGAATGCTACCGAGAGGTTGGTGATTGTGGGGGTGACGCCGAATTCTTTGGACATTTCGGTGAGGGCGGCTTTCGTTTGTGAGTATACCTGAGATTGAAAGGTAAGATACATGAAAGGTAGTACTCACGATAAAAGATGGACGAGCCCATGGGTGAGACGGCCGCGGCGAGAGCGATGATCAAGGTGATTGTCCATTTCGTCTTGTTGGTGTAATGACACGGGTTATCCACTTCCGGGATGGTGGTGAGCTGTGCGAGAAACCCGCGCCGTTTAGACCGGGCGACGATGGAAAGGGCTCGGGAGCGGGTGGACGAGGCCCGGGACCGCGTTCTCGCCGGGGCGTTGCCGGCTGCTGATGGGTCCCCATCCTCTCCCTCCACCTCCCCGTCCCCCTCCGAGTCGGCATCGGCATCGGCCTTGGCAGACTTGCGGGACCGGTCTCCGTTCCTCCGGCCAACCTCTGTGATCTCATCTTCACTGTCGCTCGATTGGCTACTGCTGCTCTGTCCCTCACCACGGCCTAGGTTTTTGGTTTCTTCCGGCGGAAAAGAATCCTTTTCAGGATCGTGTGATGTGGTGGTCATCTTTCTTTCTCTCTTGATGAGTCTTTTTCGCCGACTCGGTGCCGATGTGGATACGACAGGTGAAGGGCGCGAGAACTCAATGCCAGACGGAAAAGCTCACACGGCGATCCAACAAAACCGCCTTGGTATGGCAGAGAGAGGGAGAGGAAAGTAAGGTCTCGTCACTTGATCTTCAAGACTCCGTAAAGCCAAGCAAGTAAAACAATAGAAAGAAAGATGGTAGAGGATCAACCGTCACAAGAAGAAAAAATGACGACAAGGAAAATTGCCGGGGACCTGGGCCGTATTATGAATCGGGTGTTGTCCGGCTTTCCCACCCCACACCACACCCTTCCAGGGCTGGTCGTGTGTCCATGATGGCGGCTAGCCGTCTTCAACCCAGAAACGTGCTTGTCGGCTACCGCTACCGCTACCGCTCCGCAGTGGAGTGGATCGACACCGCGCTCGGCTGTGGGTAGCCGATGCTTCGAGCGCGAGGGGAGAGTAAGATGCCTCGGCGGTGTTTGTCCTGTATGGTGGATTAGTTGTAGGTATGGCGAGCTTTGGTAGTATGGTGCTTCTCCCTCGTTTAGCGGAGTGATCGAATGGAGCACTTGCGACTATGAGAACTTGAGAAGACAATCCCCCAATTCCCATCGAAAAGGTAGGAAGATCGGCACTGGCCGTTTAGTATTGCCGTCTTTGGCCCTGTTTCCGGCTTGTTACCGCTTAGTCAAAGGCGCGAAAGGCGTCCATCGGCAATGGGGGGATGTGGTTCATTGAGCTAAATGGGGCATGCCCCGAATCTTTTCGGCTCACTTCTTATCGAGGGTCTATTTCTTATCAGGCGGAACGGGTAGCTCCCGCCGCGGAATGGATCCCTGATGTCTCTGAGAGGGTCGGAGGAGACTGTCCAGGCCTGGTCTTCGCGGAGTGCATACCATGTACCCAAGTCGCGGTCGCCCGCATGCCTGGGCAGTATCCCGTCGTGGGTGAAGGAACACCTAAAAGCAGAAGGTTCTTCACACACAGGGAGGTGAGATGAAGGGCGGATGAACCGCGCAGTGAGCCAGGTTGTTGAGAACGGGGCAAACCTGAAAGATTCGACAATGGCTGACGTTGCCTCAATGTACCTCGGCTTGGAGGGGGACTGTCGCGGAATGTCCGACAGTGTAGGAGATGGTTGCCAGCCATCCATGACTCGAGCTTGTTGGTAGTTGCCAGTACGGAGTAAGGTGGCATTATATTCAACTGTTTATAGAAACCGAGCCTAAACTTCAGACATTTCGAGAGAAGTGACTCAATGTTGGATCGAGACCAAGAGAGAACAAAAATCCAAGAATGTTCGGGGCACGGATAGTGATAGTGACATTTCCCAGGGCAACCAAGAGAGCGGGTCAGGAACAAGACTTTTGATCCCTGTTCCAATGGCTGAGCCAATTACAAGACCGAGAATTGAGCTGCCGAAAAGAGGTGAGTAGTCATTACCATATTGAACGAAGAGGTTCATACTAAGATAAGTGTGTAGTTGAAAGAGACTTGAATTTCTGCCTCTGGAACAATAAGGTTGCTGAATTAAGTTTATCCATGTGCTATTGGAGTCTGGTAGAGTCGCTTCAACTCAATTAAACAACCTTTACTATTACCCTTCTGCGCCCAGTCCAGTCTCACTCACCACTTCTGTTCCCCTCCGAGTGCGGGGCTCTCCAAATTTTCATGGCCAAACATGCTGCCCGCCGAGTGGCGCACCGCACCATAAACCACCTCAGTCTAATTACAGGCCCAGCTGTATCGAGCCGCCAATTGACTCATACCGAACTCACCTGAGATTGTAAGTGTAGACAAGTCAATAAGTCTTGCACTTCTACTTTTACTCTAGTTGAGAGTGTCAAACTACTACACACAACTTCATTGGACAGGAAACCCATCCCCTCACCATGTCCCTCACTAACGCCTCCCCCGTCGATGCCGCAAAGGGTGCGAAATCGGCCTCTCACATCCTCGCGACCCTCCCTGCCGAAGCCCGCAACGATGCCCTCACGGCCATCCACGCCGCTCTCGCCGAGGCAAAGGACGACATTCTGGCCGCCAATGCGCGCGACCTAGAGCTCGCTCGCAAAGCCGCCGCCGATGGTCAACTGAGTCAGAGTCTCGTGTCCCGCCTGGACCTAGGCAAAAAGGGCAAGTTTGAGGATATGCTCAAGGGTATCTTGGACGTGAGAGGTCTCGAGGACCCAGGTATGTACTCACTCACTTTACCTCAATTCACAAGCACAATAGTCATTCAGTATTCTGACTCTCAATATAGTTGGCAAAGTCACACTCAGAACCAAGCTGGACGACGGCCTCGTCCTGGAGAGAGTCACCTGCCCCATCGGCGTCCTCCTCATCATCTTCGAGGCCCGCCCCGAGGTCATCGCCAACATCGCCTCCCTGGCCATCAAGTCAGGCAACGCCGCCATCCTCAAGGGCGGCAAGGAATCCACAGAGTCCTTCATCGCAATCTCAAAAGTCATCTCCGCCGCCCTCGACAAGTCCCAGGTGCCCAACCCGGCCGTCCAGCTCGTCACCACCCGCGACGTCATCCCCCAGCTCCTCGCCCTCGACGACTCCATCGACCTCGTCGTCCCCCGCGGCTCCAACGAGCTCGTGCGCTACATCAAGGAGTCGACAAAGATCCCCGTCCTCGGCCATGCTGACGGCCTCTGCTCTATTTACCTGACAGACTCCGCCGACGCCGAGATGGCGGCCAAGGTCCTCGTCGACTCCAAGACGAGCTACCCGGCCGCCTGCAACAGCGTCGAGACCCTGCTCGTTCAGGAATCCGCCCTCGACTCCGTCTTCCCCGCCGCCGCGGAGGCGCTAGTCGCGGCAGGCGTCACGCTGCACTGCGACGCCAAGTCCAAGGCCGCTGTCCAGTCCAAGATCTCTGGCGACGCGGCCTCGAAGATCGTCGATGCCAAGGACGTAGACTACGACACCGAGTTTCTCTCCCTCGACCTCGCCGTCAAGGTCGTCTCGTCGCTCGAGGAGGCGGTGCAGCACATCCACGCCCACGGGTCCAAGCACACCGAGTGCATCCTCACCTCGTCGTCCGACGAGGCCGAGCGCTTCATGGCGGCCGTCGACGCCGCGGGCGTGTACTGGAACGCGTCGACGCGCATGGCGGACGGCATGCGGTACGGCTTCGGCACCGAGGTCGGCATCAGCACCAACAAGATCCACTCGCGCGGACCCGTCGGGCTGGAGGGCCTCATGATTTACAAGTACAAGATTCGCGGCCAGGGTCAGGTTTCGTTGGCGTACGGTGAGGGAGAGGGCCAGAAGCCGTTCAAGCACGAGAAGCTGGCTTTCTAATGGAAAGGGGAGACTGGGTGTAGACAAAAGAGAAGAAAAAAAAAAGCATGGGACCAACGGCGTTAGGTAGGCATTGTGGGAATCACGAAGGAAACGAATGAAGAGGACAGAAAAGAAATCCAATGATCTATCTGCGTTATCTCTCTGAATGTTATTCCCTCTGCTCGTTCGCAGTCCGAAATGTCACTCGCAGTCCGCTGCTGAAATCGGCCCCACATTAGACGGCCGATATGGCCGGTCCGGTGTTGCTCCATTGGCCGGGCGCCATTCCACTTCGTGTTCCGCTCAGCTCTGTCACAAGCCAAACTTAGATTTTGTATTTCATTGCTCTTCTGCAGGTCTCCCAAGCGCTTCTGAAGGAATCTCTCGAGCATAACTTGGCAACGCCTCAACTCCATGTGCCGAAGTACTGGTAAGTACCTACCTCAGGTCTGTGGTCTTTAGTGTAGTCAAGCCCATCTACAATGTCTGCAAGAAACGACATCTATCAAAAGCTCAAAGGAAGTGGTTCATCCCCTTGGACACGCAAATTTGACAAAGTTCTTGAGGCTCAGAGAGCGGCATGAGATTCCCGAGAAATGGAATAGGTATAGAGGCAAAGGACCAATGGTAGGGCGAGTCGCCGTTGGACGTCTCTAAGCGCCGCCCCTCTTCACCTGACGCCGAAAAGAGTTAGAGACTCTCTCCATCGCGCTGGGCAAGCCCCAAACGATTGGACGACGGTCCAACATCGAAAGCTCACCAATACAACTGCCCTACCACTTTACCACAGCTACCACACTTATTCCCATGCAGGCCAACGGGAAGCTGGGGGTGCAGGTGGCGGCGATGCGGCCACATTTCATGGCCATGACAGGGGGTGGGGTTTCTGGCGGAGCTTCTTCCTGCAGCTCAGCAAGCTTGCCGGGATTGCTCTGGCGCGTGGGAAGCTCCCTCTTTAATGACCCAGAGCCCCGAGGCGCCCATTGTCTTTTTTTGCGCGACAATTGTTTTCTTTCTCTTGCTTCTTGGTGGTTTGAACGTTCATCTCGGAAGCTTCGGCGACTCAAGACAAAGCGATAAAGGACTTGCTGTTCGTGAGACTTGAAGCTGACTGTATCACGACGCTCTGCAATTGGGCTGTTGGGTGACAAACTGTAAGTGCGGGGCAGGCGATGGCGATGGCGATGCCCATGAGGTGGGATGCGACCAGCTTGGCGTCCGACTGACCTGCTGCCAGATCAACTCACCATTCTTTTCTCTCGATTCCACTCACCTCGTCTTGTATTTCAATTCGAGTCGGCTTCTTCTCGCAATAATATTCACGAAACCTACGCCACCGAGGAGACGCGACGTCTAACGAGAGATCATGTCTTCCCAATATTACCCACGTAAGTTCTTCACTCTCACCCCGCCATACAGCAAGGCAACGAAACTCGTGCTGACCACCACTTCCAGCTCCTCCGTCGGGAGGTACGTTGTCCCATTGAGCGAAAGCAGTGTCCCCGGATGAAAGCGCTGACAAGACAATCAAAATCACAGCGCAGCAAAACTATCCCCCGCCGCCGCAATCCCCTCCTGCGAACCAGACAAAGTTCTCGTACCCTGCTCCTCCCTCACAACCTCAGCGCAGCCATAGCGGGAGCTATCCACCACCGCCTCAGCCTTCGCAAGGGCAGTCGCAAAACTACCCTCCTCCGCCCCAAGCTGCCGGACAACACAGCAGCAACAACAATAACTACCCACCTCCTCCTCAGTCGAGCACGCCCCAAAACTATCCGCCTCCTCCCCAGTCGCCCGGACATGGCGCGAGCTATCCTCCTCCTCCGCAGGCATCGCCGAGTCAGGGGAGGACGTACCCGCCTCCTCCCCAAGGCACCACGACGCCCTCGCAGAATCAGGCGCAATACCCGCCACCTCCTGGTCTTTCCCAGCAGCAACAGCAGTATCAATCACCCCCTCAGCAGTCGCCGCAGCCCTCTCCTCAGCACCAGCAGCACCAACAGACGCAGCTTCCCCTACGGCAACCAGGCACCCCCGACTCCCAGCCTCAGTTCTCCCCTCCGCCTCCCGCCTTCGACGGACCGCCCGAGGCCTCCAGCCTGCCAGAGAAGCAGCACGTGGAGGAAGCACCAGTCGACACGAGCAACCCGTCCAACCTCGTGGGAGGCGCGCCCCCGCCCCAGCACTTCATCGGCGCCACCGCGACCGTCGACGACGTCGGCACCTTCAACGGAGGCAGCTACCGCATCAGCCACCGCGACAGCAACACCATCCTGACCGTCCAGCTCGCCATGGGGTGCCCGCTGCAAGCGAAGCCCGGTGTCATGGTCGCCATGTCGCATTCCATCACACTTAGGGGCCAGATCAAGTTTAGCATGAAGAAGCTCGTGGCCGGCGCTGAGCTGGCGAGCTCGACCTACGTGGGACCCGGCGAGCTTCTCCTGGCGCCGCCTATGCTTGGTGATATCACTAGTCTGCGTCTCACGGGCAAGGAGACGTGGTCGGTTGGCCAAGACGCCTGGCTTGCTTCTACGCAGGGCGTGATCAAGGACTACAAGCGCCAGGGCCTCAGCAAGGCTATTTTCAGTGGCGAGGGCTTGTATGTGTACAAGATTAGCGGTACTGGACTGCTTTGGCTGACCAGTTTCGGTGCCATTATCCGCAAAGATGTAAGTGCCTTGGTTACGACCATATAAGTGATGTGAGGACTAAACTTTTATCCAGCTCATGGAAGGCGAAAAGTACGTTGTTGATAATGGTCACTTGGTGGCATGGAATGTGAAGTACATTATGGAACGAGTCGCATCCGGTGGTATCATCTCTGGTCTCTCCTCTGGCGAGGGTCTGGTGTGTAAATTTACCGGCCCAGGAACTGTCTTCATGCAGACGAGGAATGCGGTAGGTTTCTGTCCACTGAATGTGCTGTCGTCGAAATACGCTGACATTATTGACCACAGAAACATTTCAGTGCTTACTTGTCTGGACAAGCGAATCAAGGCATGTAATGCAATGGATGAGGCTAGGCTTGACGAATGTACTGGCCGATATTTTGTTTGCATACCTTACTCTATCTGGGTTCATCACAAGTTGGCAATGTTTCCGAGTTTCTACGACATCTAGCGTGTTAAAATTGATATCCTATCTCTCTTTATTGACGCGTGTTTTCTTCCAGCGTTCTTTCAACAATGGCCATGATGCAGTATGATATTAGACTTAACTAAGGCTTACGAGAGTATTTCAACAACGATATCAATGTGATGGTGGTTCTTGACTTGGTTCTTGCCCGACTCACTTCAGATACGTGCAAACTGTGCATCTTCCACAATCACTATACGCTAGAGTGGTTGCTCTTGGTCAGGCCTTCCCGGCAGCGAGGACGAGAACATGCAGCCTGCTGTTTCCTCACGACGATCCCGATGTTGCCCTTTCTTTCCTCGTCTGCCACCACACGGAGCAAATTCTCCGGACAATGCGTCGACAAGCGTATACGACCTCGGCGCGATTGTTTCCCGCCAACATACCGCCAACATCTCCATCATCCGTCAACATCACACCCACCACCTCAGCTCTCCAATTTTGGACACATCATCGCAGACTTAAGGGCCTCAGCGCATGTTTTTTACATCAGCGAAGATCTCTCTTCACCTCACTTTGGGTTCATTACGCCTGTCGTCATAGCCTCCTCTGACAATTCCAGCTCTATTGTCCTTCTTCGGCCTGGACTTCCGTCGAGAACACCGCTATTCCAATCCTCCTTTTTCGACACTTCCAGCCAACCTAGAGCATCTACTCTTTCGTATGCCTCAGTTTTTCTTCTTCCTTTCGGGTTAGAATGTGTCACTAACAAACATGGCAGAGACATGGAGAAGGCAGCGGTGGCATTGGCCTCTGCCAATTGGCGCAGGCCGTTGCTTCCTCACGATCATGATACACCACAACTCAGCATGCGTCGAAGGCGAAGAAAAAATTCGAGTACTGAAACCGACTCCAACGACATAGCTGAGTCGGCTACTCACTGGCGGAAGCCCGTGGCTGGCGTTTCCCCCTTTCAAACCGCGACCGATCCCATATCCAGAGACAACAGTAATGCCTCAACAAAGGGAATGAGCATGATCGGTCGCGCGACGAAGTGTGCCGTGGTCAATGCCGTACCTGTTCCGAGTAGTCAGAGCAAGAACACCTCCTAGAAGCAGGGTCCTGACTCCTTGGTCTTGGACGTTTTTATCCACGAATGCACCGACCTCAATTGCAAGGAACACAACGGCATGTTCAACAACGCAGAGATACGCAGCATTAGAAATGCGAATCGTTTCAAGTCGCACATGCAGAGCGATAGTCTTGTCGACTTCAATAAGCAGTTGGAGGATACCAGGATCACACCTCGGAAGTCTTCCATGACAGATCTTCTACGCCCTTGCAAGCACGAAGAGAGCGACGACTTGGGCAACAAGAACCATTCTACAGACCTACGGAAAGATCAAATTTTGAGTGACTCGGCCGTCATTCACGACCCAGCCATTATTGACATTGGTTTCCGGGATACCAAGCCAACAGACAGCGGTTCCGAACACAACCAAGATGATCGCTTTCAGGGGCTTCTGCGAAAACTCCAGCGACCTTTGCAAGACGAACAGTCAAAATACCAGGTCACCAGAAATGGCGTTGCTCGCCCAAGACAAGTTTCCGAGGATTCTGGTATTGATACCAGAGGACCGGCCAAGGCTCGAACTCTTAACCCACTAGCAAGGGAGTTTTCCACCTTCGCTCCTCAGACATCTTCAGTCACATCAGACAAGGCTGAAGAGAGGGACAGGAAAACCATCATCTCTCTTCTGGAGCAACTAGTAAGCCAAACCTCCAGCAAAGCTCCTGGACAAGATCCAAACGAGATTATTGCCAACACAATCGCAAAGTTTGGCATCCAAGGAACGCAGGCTTTTCCACCATTCAATTTCCCCCCCTCCGTGCCGAGACCAATATTGCATCAGTCACTTTTCCAACAAACTCCTCAAGTATCTCCTAGTCCAGCTTTTGGTCCACAGAACAACATTGTCAGACTTCCACTAGACTTCTCAACCCAAATACCTGCCGCACCATTCGATCCATCTGCTCCAGGTTTTACACCATCATTTACAAACAAAGCAACAGCCCCCCCTCTGCTACCCCTCAGGTCACCGTTCAATCCGACTCGGTCTACTCTACCCCAATCTGCTCATGGTTCTGAAACAAGCCGCGTTGCTCCAGCCATTGGTTTTGTCCGACAGATGGCCAACAGTCCGGTAGTGCCTATTGTCGGGCCTTGGACAACTCCGTTTCCGACAACACAAGCACCGGTACCTCATCACGGGTCTTTATTGAACGCAAATGCTCCTGTGTTCGGTCCTGGCATGGCGCCCAGATGTGCTGCCAAGCCGCGAGTCCCTGATACAGTTGGCCAGCAGAGTTACGAGGCATACATCGAGTGGCGCAAGGCAAACGAGCCCGGCTATGCTCTTGAATGCAAGGCGAGACAGGCCAAGAGGGCACTTCGGCCTATTCCTGGCTGATTTCAGGAGTGAGCTGTGGTCTAAGCCATCTCAAAGGGTTGGCCAGGGGGATCATTTGGGCATATGGCATACATGGGTGGAAGGGGGAGATTCAAAATAGCTAGCGAAGGCCGGCTCTCTCAAATCAATTCTGGCCTATATTTGTACGACGAGATATTTTCATATCAATCGTTGGAGGATGGCAAGAGTGTAGATTTATACAAGGGTAGGGACTTGAAGAGTAGGATTACGTGTTTTTGGGGGCCCTTTGATTATTCTTGAAGGGCTGAAGTCTAGAATATGGGAGGTTGAGCGAGGCAGGAAAGCTTGGAGCAACTAGCACCGAGCTCACAAGTCGACTCGGATTGTCTGCATTCAATAAAAGTGCGTTATCGCTTACAATCGTGCCTAGGAGTGAGTTTCTTGTCTGCTTCACAAGGCCAGCAAAGTAAATGCCGGGAACCTCGACGGTTGCCAGGGCAGCCACCACCAACTCACGCACCTTCCTTCCTCTGGGTCACCCAGCCACATCGCGGACCTTTTCATCCGATACCTTTTCTGCCTACCACCCGAATACGCAGCAAGCCTTCATATACCCCTCCAAGTCCAATTCTGTCACCAGCACAGCAGGCGCCCGTCTAGGTCGACGGGTCAGGTCAAACTGTGGCGTGGGTGGTGGAATGGTTAATGGTCAACAATCAAATCGCCAACCAGCCTACTCGACGACAGGCTCAGCGCATACGAGTACCCGAGTTCGAATCCCAGCATGAGCGCCAGAGATGTAGCCCCCAGTTCAGCACCGGGGGGGTGAACTCTTTTACCATTTTGGGTCTTTTTTGACATGTTCGTTATGGGGAAGGGAAAAAGCACGTATTTGTTTTTGTGGTATCTGTGTGCAAAGTCGTAATATATCGATCGCCGTCATCATATCCCATACCTGCGCGCCCCAATGTTGAATCATCGGGTACAAATTGGCGATGTAATCTCTAGACGCTGCAAATCCAGCGATTTCATTCTCTCTCACAATGCCCTGATCTGCAAGCTTACCCACCATACTCAAATCACAATCATAGACAGCGTCAAACAACAAAAGAGAAAACATCAAAGCCCTTCAATACCATACGCCTTGATCGCGGTACCGCCAAACAGGGCCGCCTGGTCCTCTGGCTCGAGGGTAGCCATGTAGCAGGTGCGCTCGACAAGCAGCTTCCACTTGCGCCAGGCTTCGTCGACGCCGACGGTGCAGACGGGCCAGTCGGAGCCGAACATTGTGCGGCGGGTGCCAAAGGTGGCGAGGACGACGCCGAGCCAGGGGAAGATTGCCTCGAAGATTGCGTTGGGGTCCTGCTTCTTGAGGGAGTCGGGCATCTCGGAGAAGCCGCCCGAGAGCTTCATGTAGGTGTTGGAGCATTTGGAGAGGGCGTAGATTGCGGTGCGCCAGTGGACGAAGGAGGGGTCTGTTGTGTTTATGATGCCGAGGTCGGGTTTGCAGAGGTGGTCTGGTTAGGATGTGTTTGTTAGCTCCTGGTTTTGAATGAAGGGCATGGGAGATACTAGAGACAGGGAAGGGGGAGGACCGACTGATGACAAAGGTGACCTTCTCCTCCTCCGGAACACCCTCGTGAGCGCGCGAGATAATCTCCAACGCCTCGTCGAGCTGCTTGTTGCCGCGGCGGTGCTGGTCGACGCCCATATCAAAGACGAAACCCCTCTTGCCCAGAAGCTTCAAGCTGTCGATGAAATCGTCCGTCAACCCCGCGCCGTGCGGCTTATCCTGCAACAGATACCGGAACCCGCGAATCTTCGGCCAGACGGCGTCGCCCGCAACAGTCTTGACGTGGTCGAGGTACTTCTCCATGGCGGCGGCGCCGGAGGGTAGAGGGGCCCAGGGGACGATGCCCAGACAGAGGCTGGCGTGGTCGGGGCCGTGACCCTCGCCGTCGCGCGGTTTGCCCTCGGCGATGCGGCGGAGCCAGGAGACCTCCATCAGGGGGAACTCCCAGCCGGACGCATCGCGGGCGCCGGCTTCGAGGTCGTGTTTGCGGTCTGTTTCGAGGAAGATGAAGCCTTTGAGGTTTGCGGGGGAGCCGGTGGCGGCGACGTAGTCTTCGACCGAGTGCTGCTTCGCAAGGGGGTTTTCGGGGGTCGCCCAGGCGAGGGTCTCGATTTCTTGCTCTGGGTAGAGGTGGATGTGGGAGTCGATGATGGGGTAGTCGGCGGCCATGGTGGGCTTTTGGGAATGCTTTGGCGGGGGGGCTGCGTGCCGGTTCGGTTTTATGGGAGGTTGGCTGCTTTCTGGTGATTCAATTGATATTTTGCGTCTGAGACGAATGGGCCAAGAGTGAGGCTGAAGACGAAAAATCCAGCGTCGTTTGTTGTAGGAGAACGCTTGAGCTAGGCCAGGAGAAGATGAGAGAGGAGAGACAGAAAGAGACGTGGAGTCCCCGCACCTATTTCTTTGACATCGCGGGGTTGCAACAGCGACACACACACCCTTGTCCTGACGCCCTAGTGCCCCACTGCCGGGTCCCTCCCCCCTTTTCTGACGTTGTTGGATAGTACTCCCCCCACCGCCTTTCTTCAGGGGATCTATCCCCCGAGCACCGACCTCTCGGGGCATTTATGCGGAGAAGGGTGACGGACCACCTCCGGCGCGGACACCGAAGGCTTCTTGGACTCCGTCCCGGTCTGCCGGCGTAGACATCGCCCACTTGCCAATTTCGGCAATCCAAAGTGTACTACAACATTTCCGTGAAGACTTTGACCTCGAACACAGATTAACTGATTTACAAGAAATCTTCACTAGCATCATTCATATTTGTTCAAACTCATTTTCAAGGACGGGTACTGATCACGTTTGTCACGCAGCGGGTGCACAGTTGAGGTTGCGTTCAAATGATGGATAGATTCATATCGGCATCTATCCATAGCCGCCTGTGGCGGTAATCTTAACTATCTACATGAATTCGCCTTCATGAAAAAAGCAGCCATGCCCGGGGGCTTTCCAAAAGCCCAGCCCCCGGCAGCCGCTTGGAAACGGTCTCTTCCCCAGGAGCGGCGGATGCGCTGGCTCCTTTTCCAACCCCTGGAGTCTTGGTCTCTCGCATTCCTTCCCTATCATGAAAGGGAATACGAGGATGGCTCCGCTGTTGTCAAGTGAGGACATGACAAACGAAACGGTTGAGTTTGGTTCACGCGCGCGGCGGCCAAGCACCTCCGTCTACGGGACAGACGGCGGCGGCCGCCGCGGCGCGGGGTCGCAGCATCGACCCACTTGGAACGAGGAGGCGGGCGGGCCCGAGACCGGCTCGGGTTCGCAACTGCCTTTCCTCGGTGGATGCAATGATTAGCACGTCGGCGAGCGCGGGGCAGTCGCGCGACGAAATGAATGTACGGGCCACATGGGGGCCTTCTATCTTCGTGTATTTGGTGGCTTTCCTTTCGGCGGTGGTTGTGATCACTCCCATCCCAGGGCAGGATTGGAAGCTCTTCACCTGACGACGATGCCGTGGCGGCGGGTGGTGGAGGGAGCGTACTCCTCCTCCTCCTCGGACTCGGAGTCGGAGCAGTCGGAGCTGTCGTCGTAGCCGCAGCGTGCGCCGCCGCAGTCGATCTTGACGCGGTCGCCCTTGCGGGTGATGCCGTAGCGCTCGCAGGTGCAGGTGCTGACGTCGGAGCCGGGGGTGCTGTAGCCGGAGAGCGAGGAGCTGGGGCTGGAGCTGTCGGAGCGGTAGGAGAGGCTGGAGCCGGTGGAGGAGACGGGGGAGCCGGAGGCGGAGAAGTCGGTGACGATGTCCTCCTCGTCGAAGCCGGCGGCGCCGAAGCGGGCGGTGAGCTCCTCAATGGTCTCGTCGTCGCAGTAGTCGCTGTTGAGGATGTGCTGGGTGGCGTGGGGCGACATGGGCTTGGGGGCCTTGATCTGGGAGACGGAGAGGGGACGTCCCTTGGGGATGTCGCGCGACGAGGAGCGGTGGCGGCTTGACTTGGAGTCCTTGTCCTTGGAGGAGTGGCGAGAGCTGCGGGACGAGGAGTGGGAAGAGGACTTTGAGGAAGACTTGGAGGAGCTGGTGCTGCTAGACTTGGAGCTGGACTTGCTGGAGGACTTGGAGCCGGCGGGGACGTCGAGGATGTTCAACTCGCGGCCGGTGGTGGGCTCAACGGTGGAGGCGACGCTGGGGTTGTGGGCAACGTGGTAGCCGTCGATGATGTAGTAGTACCAGTAGCGGGAGCCGGCGGAGAGAGTGGAGCCGCCAAACTTGAAGGTGCCCTTCCATGAGCCGGACTTGGAGGAAGTCTTGTCCTTGGAGAGAGGGAGCTGGCCGACGTAGCCGTCCCAGGAACCGAGCAGGTGGACGGTCTTGACACCGGAGGAAACACGAAGGGAGAAGGAGAGTTGAGTGGACGACATTATTGCGGTATTTGACGTTTAAACGGGTGCTGCGATTAAGTGGTTTTGCTGAATAATGTGCGTTGAGCAAGAAATTCCAGATTTCCGTTACTAGGGGATAAGTTGACCGGCAACTTTGGTGGTGATGATTTGCAAAAAATTGGGTATTAGTTTGGAGTGTGAATTAAGATAGAGACCGGCTCTATGGAAAGAAGAAAGAACAAAAAAGGAGGAGGGGAAAAACGAAGAACTGGAATTAGTTGTTTGATTGCTTGCTGAAGAGAGAAAGAGGAAAGGGAGTCGAAGAGGATGGGATGCTTCCATTATATGGTTTGACGGGCCGTCCTAGGAGGCCCAGGAGAGGCCATGATTGAGGCCAACACCACCACCACATGTCTCCTCCACCTGTCTAGTGTACGCTACCTCTGTGCTCCCGTCACCTTGTTGGTGGTGGTGGGCTGGGATACCTAGACAGCCACTCGAGATGCGGTGCTACTGGCGCCGGTTCATGGCTGGAGCAACGCAACGGGGAACTTGTTGCTCGTCAGCAAAAAGTGTGGACTGTGGAGCGTGCCGTACACAGTAGCGTGCAAAAAATCAAGCGTCAGTCGACTGGACGACCCAATGAGAGAAGAGCTAGGGAGGACGAGGCTTGTGGATGGTCGATGCAAGCAACCAATATCACACTGGTGATGAGCTTCGCGGGCAACTTCGAAAGGATCAGCCGGCCGGGGTTCCCCCTCGTCCAAGAATGGACACCCACACACAGCTGTGTACTGTGGTTGGCTGTGTGGCCTCTCTCCGAGGTGTACTGGCAAATAGGAACGAAAGCAGCTTTTCTGTCGATGGGGGGACCATCGTAGCCGTCACCTCTCTCTCGTTGCTCGTTACCTTAGTGGTGCTACCATAAGATGGCCGCCGGGATGGGCCATGTCTGCACGCTGGGCGGTTAAGCTGCATGGTGAGGGGAGCCTGGGAGAGGTGAGAGTTGAGAGAGAGGGAGGGGTTCTCTGGGCAGCCGTCAGCCAAAATAGAAGAGAAAAATGGGGCTGGCCGGGACTAAAGCGCGGTACGTCCCCACATTTCCACGTTCTCTCCGATCTTTGCGTGCGATGTGGGGCCGGTCGTGCTTTTCCGTTCGAATTGGGCGTCTAAATCCCTGCCATCATTGGCCAATAGCCTACGCCCATCGCTCTTCTGTGCCCGGTCGCTTATCACTCCATCACCAACTTTGTTGAAGTGATGTGCTGCAGGTCGAGCCAATCATGACTAACCGCGGGACGATGCAGGTTTGCGAAAGCATCACCACTCACAAGAAGGCTCCCAGCCCTCCTCAGTGAAATAGTCAAGAGCTGCCGTCTAGCTGCGATTGGCTCATCTTCGTGCCTGTGAGAGATGAGTAGAAAAGCCACATCTCTCAGTTCTCGCATGGTATTCGCCCGTATGCCTATAGCCGCATCAAGCGGACAGTCAACTGGCATACTGCATCATGCAACGAGTCAATATGCATGCCGTCTGCATGTAAATGCGCGAGATTTTGCTGAGATTGATGTCCTTCCTCATTGGAGTATCCGAATTGTCACTTGACGTCCCGTCCTCTTCCCAGCCGCTCGACCAGGGAAGAACCGAAGATCGCGCGAGTCGGAAGAAAGGGAAGAGCAAGTATGATGCCAGAAGCCATGTTCCTGGTTCCCTGAGTGCCTACCTGGGTGATGTGCAGACTGGTCTGCGTCCTCCGGTTTGCCAGCTGCTTCTCGTGCCTGCCTAGACGTCGAACCATGGCAGGCTCTCTCGAGATCTGGCGATGAAGAAAATCCGAGGTCAGTCTCCGGCAATGTCAAGAGGGCTAAATGCCTTCGTAAGTGTAAGCCGGGACGATGGTAACGCCCAAAGACAATCCCCACAGACTTGGCCCAAAGGGCTGGAGATCAAACACTACCGAGATCCGGAGCTGGAAAGGGCGCAGGATACGGGGCAGCGTACTCTAAAGTGCGTGCTTCCCTCTGCCTTGTCTGCCGTGACACAGACTGGCAGCGTGGGCATTGCCCTGCGCGGTCTGGCCCTGTCAGTCGACATGGCCGATCGTGTTGCGGCCCGCCAAGTACAAACTGCCGTTCTCCGCCTTCGGTCGACATCCGCTGCGACTGCGTGACCCTTGAGCCACCCACACCTCGAGAAGATGATGGAGGTGAATTGTAGATACGGCGTCAGTTTTTTCCCTTCTCAGTTCTCACCATCCCTCTTCGGCATAGTATTCAAGGTGCGTCATACGGCTCCATGCGTCTCTAGTCTCGGCGGGTATGTGAGGTCCATCACACTGATGGACTATAGTCCCCGTTGAACGGAACGGCAAGCCCGCTCGTGGTATTTCCCTCATCGGATCTAGGATCTGGGATCTGGGCTGTAGAGATGCCTGCCGTGGTTCTGGAGCGCAACTATGCGAAAGGTCCATCGAGATTGTCACTCCATCAGATTAATCAGAAAGCGAAGAAAGGGCAGTGACAGGTCGCAAGACGGCGCCTCGTAAGCCGGCTGCGACTCTGGCATATCGGCCTTTTCCTTGATGCCGACAGATGTCTCACAAAGCGACTGCGAGCGTGAAGCGGTCTGACCTCAGAATGGTGAGATCGATGTCGGCTGACAAGCTGGGCGCTCAAGAGTGTTACGTGTGTTGCAGCATTACAACAGATTTGGTCTTTGGACGTTGTTTCTCAGGCGCTTGGCCACTGCCCAAGATCTGCAAAGGTGTGCTCAAGTCGAGGGTGTGCCGTTTGCCCGTGGTCTTTGTTAGTAGCGGGAAGACCTGGCGGGAAACAGCGGGATCGCCCGTGAGAGGAACAAGCCATGTGGAGACTGGAAGCGGTGGTATCCACCTACAGTTGACCTTCATCACGTGAATGGTCACATGATAGCGCGTTCCTCGTCAACGATCTTGCGACTATCTACTTTGGCGCGTCGTAACAAAGTCGCGTATGAAAGTTGCTACGTCGCCGGCCTGAGTCAACGATCCAAGGCAGCAGCCCCTCTTTCATCAACACGGTCACTAAATCTAGCTAGACGTCCTCAAGGTAAAGCCCTGTTGAAAAGGTCGGATTACCAATCCATCAGCGAGAAGTCTTGCCGTTGTCATTGATAAACGCCATCGACGATCCAGTCTCCTTCAGTTCTTCAAACATAATCTTTCCCATCTACAGACGTTCAAGATTCATCGGATACTCAAGTCAGAGTACCCCGGTTTTCACTATGGCTCAAACTGCATCACCAACCAAAGAGGAGCTCGTCTCCGAGGTGACAAAATACGTCGAGGCCTACATGGCAAAATACGACGCCTCCCACGACTTCAACCACATCAAGCGCGTCGTCTCCCTCGCCCACCGCATCCACGCGCAATCTCCAGCTACAACCCCGGCCCTAGACAAACACACAATCACCCTCTCCGCCCTCCTCCACGACGTCGGCGACCGCAAGTACCTCCAGCCGGGCGAGGACGCATCCACCCTTGTCTCCACCCTCCTCAGCTCCCTCGGCGCCAGCCCCGACCTCGCCGCCCGCGTACAGACAATCTGCCTCGGCGTCAGCTACTCCAGCGAGATCAAGGATCCGGCGCGCGTACGGGCGCTGATTGCAGAGTACCCAGAGCTCGCCGTCGTGCAGGACGCCGACCGCCTCGACGCCATTGGTGCCGTGGGCATCGGGCGCTGCTTCACGTTTGGCGGCGCAAAGGGCGCGCGCAGCATGGACAACTCCATCGAGCACTTTGAGGAGAAGCTCGTCAGGTTGGAGGGGATGATGAAGACGGATGCTGGGAGGGAGATGGCGCGGGAGCGGACCCAGAGGCTTCTTACTTTTATGGAGTGGTGGCAGGACGAGGCTGGTCCTGTCAGTGCCTGAAAGGTCGATCTCGAGGAATTTGCACGTATATGACTTTCCCTTCGATTCAACTCGATACCCAGCTTCGTCTTTTTTGAATATTACGGTCCATGTTTCAACGCGGACTATTACGATTACTCGAATAAGAATACTACATCCTTCAAATAAGCTCAACGGACCCGTCCCTCCTTGTCACTCAACTCAATTCCCTTCCTGCAACCCCATACCTCCCCTCCTCCTCTCCTCCTCGACAAGTCTCATCTGCTTCCGAGCCTGCCTGTACCGCCAAGCCCAGTCCACCGCCCCGATCAGCGGCAACACCAGCACGTCCATAACTCTGATGGAAGTCCGCAGCGTGAAGTCGTCGTGCACCCGCCGCCGCCCAAACGATGAGCAGAGCGTATTGACCCAAAACAGCGCCACCTCCCTCAGCAACTCGCGCCCTTCAAAGTTATAAAGAAACGCGAACCCGCTCCCGTCCTGCCACGGCAGCGTCTGGCCCCTCACCCTCTTCTCCACCACGGCGCTCCAGTCGTCGTCCCGCGCCAACATGAAGACGGCCACCGCCCCGCGGCGCATGAGCTGCCTGTTGGACTCGGCGCCGCCGTCAAACCAGAGGAGCGTCACCACGAGGCAAGCCCAGGGTAGCCGGTCCCGTAAACGGAAATAGTAGAGAAAAGAGGCGTAGATATAGGCGACGCAGCAGGTGCTGACGAGGACGACGGTGACGTCGAGAGGTCCGCCGACGCCTGTGGTGGACAACAAGAAGAAGAGGACCATGAGCGGGTAGGTCGCCACGAGGAGACGGAGCTGGTTCGTGACGGAGACCCACCCTTCCCAGGCGATGGCGGCCAGGACCTCCCAGATGATTGCGGGGAGATCGCCGACGGCGCGGAGGAGCATGACCGATACGTGGGTCCCTCCTTTCGGAGGCCGTTGAAGCCCCATCGGTGGTCCGCCCCGTTGTTTCTTTTTTGCTTGTGGAGCGAGGGGGAGAGTTGATATCCTCTTTCGTGTGAGGTTTGTTGGGTAGACCGGGGTTGCAATGCGGACTTTTTAGGACCGCGGGCCTTGTGAGTTGATTCGAGAGGAAGGTGGTAGTATGAACTTGAGCCTCTCCAACTTCTCTCTTTCTTTTTTTTTTTTCTGCTCGAGGGGAGGGGGAGGAAGGGGGATTACCTTTGGGAAGCTGGCGCGGACTGGAAGGGGAACAGCTCAGCATGAGCGACCCAAGGATTGTGTGTCTTACCTTAGTTCCCTCCCTTAGCTTCAAATACGGACGGACCCCCCACGCAAACGCACCATAGGGGCGCCACAAAATATGATCCTAATCTCCAGAAATAAGGACCCAAGCGGATGATAAGGCTGGCTCTGGTACCCGTTTTTCTTAATAGCACAGTGACGTAGACAAAGAGCCAGGATCTTTGAATTTCTCGATGCCAGTCGGAAGTAAGCGGGCGTTGCCGATTTATCCTTGACTTGGAAAGGAACTTTCACATCTCGTGTTGGAACCTTTTTTTTTTCTTCTTTTTTTTTTTTTGATAACTCCCATACTGTCTTCCCTTAACACGATACAGAATGGTTAGTTTTAGCTGCATGAAACGAAACTCGAATGTAAGCAAGAAAGCGGCGGGGAGCGGATCGGCCGGATGGGGAGGGTTGACATGTACGGTAGATCCTTGGGACGAGCTAGTCGGTGAGGATTCCAGAGGGCAGAGGCATCCCGCGTTGCTAGGGTTCTCGCCCTCTTTTTCTCATATGTGAGACAGCAATCTTGGCAACCTTCCAGAAAGATCGTATCACGACCGCATCAGAGTACTAGGTAAGATATGATTGACGCTGACGACAGCAGAGCAACGGCCTACGAAAGCGTCACCTGGGTTACTAGGTAGACAATTGATATCCGAAGAGTCGTCAAGTTGTAGATCAATCGCATTTTCGTGTTAGCTTTCTTAGGATGTGTTCCCGTTGATATGACTGAACAAGGAAACGATGTACTGCCAAACCGTAGCGGCACCTTGGGCGCATTCCCTATCAAAGTTGCTGGAGCTGATCGAACCACCTCTTGACGCTCAAAAACCACCGACCTACCAACAGCACCTGAGATGATGATTTCGGACTTCAAATATTCAGGGAATAAATTCCTCTTCAGGGAATAAATTCCTCTTCTGTGGTGCAGTTATCGCCGAAATCATTTCGCCCCCGTGTTCCTCTTACCAACGTCGCCAAAAAAGAATAGGCATGCTTTACACCTCTAGGACTACGTATCAAAATACAAAAACATCAAAAAAAGAATTAAATCGAAGCTGAAGAGTTCACCCTCTGGGCGCTGAACTGAGGACTATATGTCTTGGTGCTCATGCTGGGATTCGAACTCGGGTGCTCACGGTTGCGTTAGTAGGCACTCCGTACTTCCTGATCAGTCTGTATCTGTCAGATTTGAGTTCCCTAACGACTTGGACCCAAGGGCTGATTTGGCAGCAGATGAGCCTTGGTTGATTATTATCGCAGCTATGTATACGTTCTCAATCCCATAGACTACGATATTTCTTCTCCTCTTAATCTTTCCAGTCAGAGGAGGAAACAGGCCCTTGGTATCCCTGAAGATATGACTTCACACGAGCAGCAAACCGGCCGCAAGAGCTATGACTGCGGCGGCACGAATGCTTTCTGACATGGGGTTCCCGGCATTCGGGGGCGTGGCGGTTGAAGTAGGGGTAGCCGAGCCCGTCCCCGTTGGTGAGGAAGTTGAGGAGTCCGGCAGGGCATTGACGGACATTACGCGGTCCAAGATGTGGATGAGTCCGTTGTTGGTCCTGTCACAAGCCATCAGTTTCATTGCCTGGGTATCGTTGCTGGTCAGGTAGTGTCTATGCATTGTAGTACTCACAGGACGTTGGGGCTAATGACCTTGGCATCGTTGAACCAGATCTCGTTGTCCTTGATCGTGACGCGAACAGTCACGTTGGCCATCGAGGTGAATTCCTGGCCATCCACGAGGAAGTCGCTGTAAGCTGTCTGAGGTAGAGTGTGAAAACTGTTATTTGGGTCAGTCGAACGAGAGCTAGAGTCTGCATTCGTGGCTTGTGACTCACAGCAACGCGTTCTTGAGGTCTTCGTTTCCGAGAGAACTCTGGGGGCTGCCTGCCTCCTTGAAAGCAGCGGTGTTGGGTCCCAGACACGTGATGTTGGCGGTATTGTCGAGTTGTCTCCATAGCTTGATCTTGTCCAATGCATCTCCGAGAGCCGATAGTGAGCTTGAGAGCTTCTTGATGGTGGTGG